CGGGAAAATGTAAGGGACTGACAGGAAAATGTCAGGTCCAGACAGGAGAATGTCAGGAACTTACTGGGAATGTCAGGGAGAAGCAGGGAAATGTAAGGACCTGACAGGGGAAATGTTAGGGGGAGACTGGGAAATTTAAGGGACTGACAGGAAAATGTCAGGAACTGACAGGGATGTCAGGGAGAGGCAGGGAAATGTCAGGGACTGACTGGGTTATGTCAGGGGATTTTTTTAGAATCTAAGGGGAAATCATTTAGAAGTTTCCATGGGAATTGGCCTGCTCAGAAAATGAGATTGATTGTTTGTTCAACCTCTCTCTCAAGAATTTTTCACTCATACGGCGATGCCACCAATTGCTGGTGGAGAGCTGCAAATTTTGTCTAATACCCAGCACTCAGGGCCATGGAGCAGTGAGAGATCTTTTTCTGTGCCAGTGCCTACTGTGACACAGGACGTTGGTTTATATGGTCTCATCCAAAGGACAAGGAAACTTTAAAAACTCTAGAAAATATGAAATCCAGAATCTGAAGTTAGTTTGGTAGTGCCCATCTCTGGATGTAGCATCAATGCAAGTTTGGTTCAGAAACGGCTTACGGTTACTTGGGAATGGGTGTGCTCCTAAACCTTTACTCTTACAAATGTATCCTGGATGCCTATATGTATGCTAATGCCAACACCAAGGTTGAGCATAAGCTCACTTGAAAATGACACAAAATATCTATTATACAAGGGTTATCCACCATTAAATATGTGTACGAGGGGTGATCAAAAAGTTCGCGAACTATCTCTATATCTACAAGACCACAATTCAGATTAGAATGAAATTTGGTACACATATAGCCATACACAATTTCTATGAATAGCATATGCTAAATAAAGCTTTGCTCCTTGTTTGTGACGTCACAATGTGTAAATGACGTCACTTTATAGGTCCAGACCTGCCTACCCTTCCGCTTTTGGCGTAATTCTTCCGCTTTTTACCACAAAAGTACGCTATTACGCCACTTATATTAATTTTACGCCTTTGGTATTTTGGTTAAAATTCCATTTTGAACGTTCTACGTATGTAGAGTTAAAATATGACCTGCTGAAATGAAATGAGAAGTTTTTATAAAAGAAATAAAAGAGGACCAGTTGGATAACGTACGTGATATACCTAGTACGTGTGTTACGTGTAAACAAAAGACGAGAGGACACTACTTACGTTAACTTTTAAATGATATTGCAATAAGTACAGCTGTTTCTATGCTCAATTTACTTTTTTTTTAACTTTGCTTAGAACAAGATATAAAAGTATGTGTGTTAAAAAGATAAAAAACAATGTTTTAACATAAGATTTGCTTAAACATGCAAACGCAAGCCTTTAATTAAGTGATTTGATACAAATTGACGAAAAGGTTCATTAATGGTGTACTGTTAAATTGAGTTTGATATAGGATACTGGTATTTTACAGCACTTATTTTGCAAAAAGATGATTATAAAAAGAAATGTTTATGCAAGCTTTGCTTAGTAATGTATAATTTCAATTGTTTTGAAAGAAAATAAAGTATTATAGTAGAGAAGGAGAAGGATACGGAGATAACAACAGTATTCAATCTCAAAGTCCATGAAACAATACAAAATAAGACCAGAGCAAACACGGACCCCGAAACATCAGAGGTGGGATCAGGTGCCATGGAGGAGTGAGCATCCCCTGCAGACCGGTCACATCCGCCTTGTCCTCTTTTTCATGATCAGGAAATAACGGAAAAAATTGTCGTCAATACAGTGTATAGACCTAACAATTGGTATGAAAAACGTCATTCAGCATTTGACTTGATGATAAATTGTATTTGCTGACAAGGTCATCGTATCGACCATAGAACTTACGAAATGATGACTTTCAACGAGACTGCTGATATTCTTGTTTTATCAACTTGCTTGTCAATAATTTACCTCGTTTCAGAAATTCAGCATGCTCTTGCATATCGAATCAACTGAGATATATATATACTCCGTATGCAGGTGATGAAGGTATATTGCTGCATAAGTAAGGGAAGTTGACGATAGAAAAGTTAAAGTCATCACGTTTATCATATAGTTTGGTTGTTAGATTACCATTAGCGGCTTTTTTCAAGTAAAATATCCAAGTATGAAACAGAAGTGTCAGACTCTGTGGTATCTTTTATCTCAAGCTCACCAGGATATATCGTATCGACGTAAGAATGGAAATTACCATTGTTAATTGACAATACGTCGTCGATATTATTATATATACATGTATAGTATGATATATTGTAGTAGAACAATAAAATAGAGAAACCTGATTGATTACGCTTTAACCTCTGTAATTCCACCAAAAAATGTACTTAAATTACACCCTTGCAATGAAAAGGGTAGGCAGGTCTGTAGGTCACTCGTGACGAAAAATGGTTGTCTCAGCCGTACTCGTTCAACAAACGACTGTACAATTTATTGTATATCTTAGAAATTCCTTTGCCGTAGCAAATAATAATTTGTACACATTTTATTAAGACAAATGACTTCCTATAAATTCAATCAATGAATGGATTGATCGTTTTATTGTAGGAAGGTAGATATGGTTAAAAATGATACTTGTCATGTTGCAGACCTGCCTACCCTTTTCATTGCAAGGGTGTAATTTAAGTACATTTTTTGGTGGAATTACAGAGGTTAAAGCGTAATCAATCAGGTTTCTCTATTTTATTGTTCTACTACAATATATCATACTATACATGTATATATAATAATATCGACGACGTATTGTCAATTAACAATGGTAATTTCCATTCTTACGTATACGATATATCCTGGTGAGCTTGAGATAAAAGATACCACAGCTGACACTTCTGTTTCATACTTGGATATTTTACTTGAAAAAAGACGCTAATGGTAATCTAACAACCAAACTATATGATAAACGTGATGACTTTAACTTTTCTATCGTCAACTTCCCTTACTTATGCAGCAATATACCTTCATCACCTGCATACGGAGTATATATATCTCAGTTGATTCGATATGCAAGAGCATGCTGAATTTCTGAAACGAGGTAAATTATTGACAAGCAAGTTGATAAAACAAGAATATCAGCAGTCTCGTTGAAAGTCATCATTTCGTAAGTTCTATGCTCGATACGATGACCTTGTCAGCAAATACAATTTATCATCGAGTCAAATGCTGAATGACGTTTTTCATACCAATTGTTAGGTCCATTATTTATACACTGTATTGACGACGGATTTTTTCCGTTATTTCCTGATCATGAAAAAGAGGACAAGGCGGATGTGACCGGTCTGCAGGGGATGCTCACTCCTCCATGGCACCTGATCCCACCTCTGATGTTTCGGGGGTCCGTGTTTGCTCTGGTCTTATTTTGTATTGTTTCATGGACTTTGAGATTGAATACTGTTGTTATCTCCGTATCCTTCTCCTTCTCTACTATAATACTTTATTTTCTTTCAAAACAATTGAAATTATACATTACTAAGCAAAGCTTGCATAAACATTTCTTTTTATAATCATCTTTTTGCAAAAAAAGTGCTGTAAAATACCAGTATCCTATATCAAACTCAATTCAACAGTACACCATTAATGAAGCATTTCGTCAATTTGTGTCAAATCACTTAATTAAAGGCTTGCGTTTGCATGTTTAAGCAAATCGTATGTTAAAACATTGTTTTTTATCTTTTTAACACACATACTTTTATATCTTGTTCTAAGCAAAGTTAAAAAAACTAAATTGAGCATAGAAACAGCTGTACTTATTGCAATATCATTTAAAAGTTAACGTAAGTAGTGCCCTCTCGTCTTTTGTTTACACATAACACACGTACTAGGTATATCACGTACGTTATCCAACTGGTCCTCTTTTATTTCTTTTATAAAAACTTCTCATTTCATTTCAGCAGGTCATATTTTAACTCTACATACGTAGAACGTTCAAAATGGAATTTTAACCAAAATACCAAAGGCGTAAAATTAATATAAGTGGCGTAATAGCGTAATTTTGTGGTAAAAAGCGGAAGAATTACGCCAAAAGCGGAAGGGTAGGCAGGTCTGATGTTGCCCGATGAAAGCAAGTTTGAAAAGATATGTGTTTTTAATATAGCAATTTGCTATCAAAGACCATCAATTTACACTTTGAAAAATAGCTGAATATTTGAACATTTATTTAATTATTAAATACCTAAAATATCGTGTACTTTAGATATTAAACATATTAGATATGATAAAAAGGAAGCACCCATTCTCTATCCACCTTGAATAAACGTCTCTCCTGAGACAGAAGTTTTGTGTTTTAATAGTCGCCATGCTTATTTTTGGAAAGGATATTCTTATCCACCCATTCTGTTGCCGAGATTTGACCATTTCTGACAGATGAACCATTCTTGTTTTAAAAATTAACTTTCAGGGAAAGAAATATAAAACCCAGAAAAATCTTTCAGCTTCTGTGACAGAACGCTACGAAGGGGGTCACGTGACCGCTAATATCACGTGATTCGCGCATGCGCAGAACAGTGGCTGATGTGCATTATAATCTGAGAGGACATTTTTTATCAACACTGAAACCAGATATTATTTCTTATATGAAAGTTATTCAATTAGTTCGCGAACTTTTTGATCACCCCTCGTATAAAAATTTAATTCTAAATAAAATAATAATGTTGTATGTAGAAGAGTTTATTATGCAACTATCACATTCACAGAGATGTGAAACATTGTAACATTACAAACAATGAATAGAATTCATATCACACAACAAAATCCAGTCAACCACTGTTCTTTCATTCTAACTTTTACCTTATGATGTTTATCTAGTAAGTACGTTTAACTGAAATGAATGCAACATTATATTCAGTAATCAGTATCTAGGATTCAATAAATGACAAGCTATTGTATAACATATACATTATACTAGCAGTAAATGAAATTTCATTATTTATTCATTACTTTCACAAATATGCATGTATATTTCATTTATACACTCTAAAAAATGTATGATTTTCTTTTTAAAAAATAATCTGTATCATTAAATTTGTTCATTATAAAAAAAAAATATGAACACAAAAATAACTCTTTTAAAGTAAATAATAATTTAATTTTCTATTCCTAAACCTTTTCTCTATAAAGACAATATCATCAGGCTGTAAATGAAGGAAAATTTCCAAGCTTGTCTTTAAAACTGGAATATTTTTATGATTAGAAATTGAAAGATAATATAATTCCCAAAGAAACAATCACTTTCAGATTTTTGCTTTCTTGAATTTCTAACTATGGGGGAGAGAAAAGAATGTTAATCTACAAGGCCAAAAAAAAAAAAAATCAATAGTTTCTTAGGCACCGCCGCATCAGCACAAAAAGTGCCGCATCGATCATTTTCATTGAAATATTTGAAAAGGGGTATCTCAGGCCATGCAAAATTAATTCCTTGGTTCTCAGGCCTTTTTTCAAGAAATATGATGAGGGAGGGAGGCATTTTTTTTTACTTTTTATTGCCCCCAAAACATGATGAGGCAGCTTTTTACAATGTACAAAACTTCAAAAAATGATGAGGGAGGTGATTTGTTGTTTTTATTTTATTGATTTAGCAATGAAAAGGGTCAATGAGGCGCCCTTGGATGAGATAAGGGAGGGTCTGAGAACCAAGAAATTAATTTTTTTTGGCCTCAATTTACAATTTTTCCAATGTAAACCAGAAAATTGAGTTTTCCCCTTTTAAAAATGCTAATAGACGTTTTTATTAGATATTAAAAGAATATATTTCTATTAGGTCGGGTATTTTGTTTGGTATAATATTTTTTTCGTCTTATCCATTTTTTATGAACCCCTTACATGAAATCTTAAATATTTAGATATGTTTATAATTTTACAATAAATACTCTCCGAAACATACACACACATACTCTGCATATATCAAGAATAAAATACACAATCATATATCTATATGTCAAAAACAGATTCAAAGTAAACAAAGCATAAAAGATTAAATACGACAGAAAAAATTGCCAAAAAAGGAAGACAATAGTAGTTTAATTATCTGATTCTTTAGTTTTGTATGAATGTTTTGCTTGTTATGAGCATTTTCCCCCATTGTATTAAATGAAAAACTTATTTTTTATAATCCCCATAATTCAATTTAAAATAATATTTAAATGATGTGGGTACACAATGCTACCCATATACTCTCTCTTTCCATGATACAATGTCACTAAGTTCATTTACCTGTTTGCATGGTTACAAAAGTTTTTACAGTCATAACATTTATTTCATTTAAGAACGCTAAATACAATCCTTGGTTGTAAATAAGCGACTATATATACAAAAAAAATATACACTTTGGTCCCAACATTAACGTATATACTCATCTATATGTCCGTCCGCCTATAAGTCGGTTGTATTTTTGAAGTTGTGTTAGAAAGATTAGCCTTCTAAAATACCAATATTTTTATATCTCGCCTTTAAGTCGGACATATAGTTTTGGACCACTGTTTAACTCCCCAAAATCTGACTTATAGGTGAGTATATAGGGTAATAATATTTTTTAACTGTAGTCCATTCACTAAAATTTTGGTCCCTAATGAAAAAAACACTTTTTAAATCAGAACTTGAAGTAACATTCTATGGTCAAAGCACATGCTTGAAGACTGATGTAAAGGAAAAATATTAAAAGAAAGTCACAAAAAGTTACATGCCAGTCAATATATTCAAAAATAAATCCTTTGATATGTTTTGTAAATCACTGAAGAAGAAATCTCAGGCCTGGCAAAATTAATTTTCACTTAGAAATTTGAAAAAAAAAATTAAAAGCACATCATGACATGGGGTCTTCACTGAGCTTGGAACCAGGAGAAACAGCTAAACTCATTTAGTACGAACATGGATATTGCAAATTTACTGATATAGCGAATTTATCTTGGATGCCGAACTATATAAATTTAACGAATTCCATATACATATATAAAAAATTTATGGATATAGCGAAGTAATTTCACAGGTCCTAGGGACTTCACTTTAACAGAGTTTTACTGTAATAACTTTCATGCAATAAATGTCCATTTGACTAGATTTTGTTAGTAAGCCTGCTTAATTAACATTTTATTCAGAAACAATTCTACCAAATGTTTGATATACTAACACAAATGCTAAAATATGTAATTTTATTTTTTATAAAATATTAATCACATTTTTAGTAGACTTTGTATGTATCACATTTTTAATAGATTTTGCTAAAAAAATTATTAAATTTCATGTAAATTAATATATATGAAATAATTTTGTTGAATTTGTCAATGATATAAAAAATCATATTTTTCCAAATATAGCAAATAAGTCATCACATTAAATTCATATAAACAAAATAATTTATGTTGCATGCTTAATTACATATACTTCACAACCTGAATAAATCACAGCTAGCATAATATTTCAGAAAAAGGTTTGCCAATTAACTCCAACAACCTAATTAGGGCTAACGAACTATGATTAATTTAAGTAAACAGAAATATATTCTACCATTCAAATATAGGACATACAGTATACATATAAAGAAAAACAATTACATTTAGAAAACAATAATTATTCAGGAGACGCTGAAATTGATTTGATACTTTTTTTTTTTAATTTGTAAATTAGCTTACAGCTAATTTTTTGTTCATAACAATCTTTTGTTTAAGAAACTGTAAAATGTTTACAAAAACAATATTTTCTGAATGTTTACACTCACTTAAACTCCATTCAATTGTCATTTTAGTCAATTTTATTCAGGAAAAAGGAGGTCATTTGAACATTCAATTACATTAAGAGTATTAAAGGGACCTAACTCTCTCACAACCAACTAGCACAACCACCTGAAGTTTAGAAAAAATAATTAAAAACAAAATATTGTCATCAATATAGAGAAAGCTTCTTTAGAAACGTAAAGTTTACATTGGGAAGCTCAGGAGAATTTTTTCTTGTAAATGTTGAATCACAAACCCGTGAAAGACTATTAAAAGACAATTCACTTGTAAAATCCATCCAAAACAACATACATATATCTCATTCAAATCAAAGAGAAAAGACAACTCATCACCAACACTTAAATAGCAATGCTTATTAAAATCAAGCAATGCATTATTATATATGAAGAACTGAAGATAAAATTAGCTTGATGTTAATTCATGCCATTGTGCATCAAAGCCATGATAAAATTTGAACAATTTTATATACCGTATAAGTGGAAATTTTAGCGAGATACAAATTAAATGATTTGTCCTTAAAAATTGATATTTTTAACAAGATTTAATTATAGCAATTTTCAAATGATCACTAAAGAACCTATTACAAATATAACACAATTTATTTTCAGCGCTATCTAATTTTAGCGATTTCAGCAACCTCCCTAATAATGCCAAAATTTAATCCTCGCTAAAAATTTCTACTTATATGGTAATTGACATTGATCTGGTCCCATCATATGGTCCATCTGTTTATCTGTTATTATTGTTGACTTTGGACCAAGCCTTTGGTTTGTTTGTCTGTCTGTTGTTCAGTTAGCACCACAAGAATCCTAACTTAGTCCTAACACGCACAGCGACTCCCCTGATCCTGTCCCCCCTTGTTTTCCTGGGGTACGATCCGCGATGAAGAGTCCGATTTCTCGGATTCTGTCTGTATCTTGAATATGTCTGAAAAATTTAGCTTCTTTATTTATTGTCTATTGAAAAATCTATTACTTTTTGATTTGTTCTTAAAATTACTGTAAATGAAAAAATGAAATGAATTTCTTCCGAATATTAATGCATATAATGATACATCCTCTTTGTGAAATTATAATGAAAGATGGCCAAGACATAATAATACTTTCACATAAAATTCTGCAGATTACACAAAGTACTTGTCTTATCATCGCAAAATGACTCACTCAGACATCAAAATTGACCAAAGCTGAATTCTTGCCTGGTTTTGATTCATTTAATAGCATGATAGGGAAGTTTAAAGAACACCTTTCCATTTTTCTTGGCATTTACTGATTAACTGATTTTACTGCAATTAATGAAATTTTAAAAATGCAACAAATTTCTATACTACTTTCAGACCTGTTTACCCATATCGTTGTTTCTCAGTAATTTTGATGAAATTTTTCCGTGAGATTTGACATTTGCCAGTGAGATTCCATTTTTCATTGATTTTACATATTTATGGAGAAAGACTGTTTTTTCTGATTACTTAGTCGCCGGCGTGGCAGAGTGGTTAGAGCGTCTGCTCTAGAGTAGCGAAGTAAGGACGCAGTAGGTGCTTGCACGAAAAAGACCCCTCCCCGCTCAATGGCCCGAGTAGAGGAAAAATTTGCAGTTCTCCACCGGCAAGTAGTGGCGTCTCCATAGAAATGACAGATTCGAGAGAGGGACGTTAAACAACGTATACTCAATCAATTTGATTTCTAAAAGGAACATAACGAAAACTTTTAATGCGAAAATTCCGAAGAAATGTATTTCCGTATTTTTATAACATCATAACGTGAGACGTATTTTGTACTAAAAATCCGTATAAAATACGGCAAAATCGTAAGAGTAAACAGGTCTGTACTTTTGTTATTAAGTAGCTTTTTCACCTCCTATGAGGTCCAAAATAAATTTCAATATTTATAGCGATTCAATATTCACTTACCAACTAATAGATTGTTAAAGGCCTCCCCAACATTGGAGGCATCTAAAGCTGAGGTTTCTATGAAAGAATAGTGGTATTTTTCTGAAAGAAAAAGAGAAACCAGTGTATCATCAAGCATGACTTTATAGTTACTTTTTTATTATACAAAACTTGTTTCAGCTGTATGTAGAAAAGAACCTGCACAATATAATAGAGTTAAGCTGATTCCTTTTGAACAAATTTGAAAGTTTTTTTTATATTTCTAATTAGCATATGGTCACTTCTTTTAAATGTGAATTCAAGATACCAAAGTTCAACTCTATGTGTGTAGCATCTATTGAATAGAATTATAACAGTGCATTTATCTTGTAATAATCTTAGTTGTAACATATCATTTCATTGGATAAAAGATTTATCTTTTAAAAATCTCAACATAACTTAAAAATTTTGCATTATCAATTTTGAAATTTATTTCAAAAGTTACACTGATTTGAAATTTTGACAATTTTTTTCTCAGATTATGGTCTTGGGGCATGGTCTGTTTAATTGCCCTCTTTTATACAAACAGAATGTATTTACTGCTAGAATTCGTCCCTCTTCTGTTAATACGACCCTCCGTGACTTCAGGTCCGTTTTATTGCCCCCGGTTATAAACACAAAATGAACTTACCTGCTAGTGTTCTGCCCTCCTCTGTTGACACGCTTCTCTGGGACTTCAGGTCCATTTTATTGCCCCACCCCATCATTAATACACACAAAATGTACTTACGTGCGAGTGTTTGGCCCTTTTCTATTGATACGACCCTCTAGGACTTCAAGTCCATTTTATTGCCCTCTGTAATACACACAGAATGTATATACCTGCTAGTGTTCAACCCTCCTCTATTGGTATGACCCTCTAAGACTTTTGGTCTGTTTTATTGCCCTCTGTAAGACACACAGAATGTATTTACCTGTTCGGCCCTCCTTTGTGACTTCAGGTCCGTTTTATTGCCTTCTGTAATACACACTGTATATACTGGTATTTACCTGCTAGTGTTCGGCCCTCCTCCGTTGATACGATCCTCTGTGACTTCAGGTCCGTTTTATTTCCTACTATCATTATACACACAGAGGGATCGGCATGCTCCTTTAGCTCGCTGATCCATTTATCTAGGTTTTCAAACGTCTGGGGCTTTGTGATGTCATAGAGGACAAGTGCCCCTACTGCACCTCTGTAGTATCTACAAGTTCAAAGGTTAAAGGTCAATTTAATGATAAATAGCAATGTACTGTCTAGCCTTCTCTATCCAGACTAGTGATGGGGAATCGGAAAAAAATCAGAATCGATTATCGGTAATAATCGGATGGGCATAATCGATTAATAATCGAATATAATCGAAATTTTGAACTATAATGAAATTAATATAGAAAAGTTAAAACTAATTCAGATTTCTGTCAGACTTTTACAAAAAATTCATTTACATACATTCAAAAATGTTAATTGAAATTATTTTTTAAGTGGAAAATAATATTTTGTTTACTCTAAACAATATAGGACTATTAAAAACAGAATGGGAATTTATTTTTTTTTATAAAGTCCATGCAATGGGTATTTTACTGATATTAGTCCCACCTTTCATTTAATACATGTACCTATTTCTTTTATTTAGTTTTAATTTGTTAAAATTGCAAGTTTTAAAAGTTGTTATCCAGAAGAAAGACTTGTATTTCTGATTATAATTACGTTTAAAGATTGACTAAACTAATTATGATATCCTTTGTATATATTAAAACCTTGCAATATCACCGTTTCCTGGTTTTAGTCTGACCCCATATTTAATCATGGCGGTAAAAGTATCAACAAGACACCGAATCCTTTGATGTTTTCAACATTCATTACTACTTTTATGCTCTTTGCACTTGGATTCGGTAATAAAATTAAAGTATGACAATTTCATTTTTTGTTAGCGATGTCGGCGACATTTATTTTATAATCGATTAGTAGCATCGAAGAGCTTCTAACGACCGACAATCGATTGTCGGCGACAATCGTTCCATCACTAATCCAGACTTTTGTTTCCTTACCATATATATATTTTAGAAGCTTTAGTGCAGACAACAATGTGCTAATTTATAAATACCACTAAGAATTTGTTTTATAAATACAATACAGGGTGTGGATGTATGTAATGCTAATTCATGATTAGGCAAACAATTCCAGTCTCGGTGATTGCCCTTAACTTTAAATATATCAATTTATATATCTTTCAAGGGCACAATAGATACTCACACACTAGTTATCGCCCTGTATCTTTCCTGTCCTGCCGTATCCCAGATCTGAGCCCGCACGGTCTTACCTCGGATCTGAACATTTCTAAATAAAACAATAATACGTATATAGATTGTCAATGAATAAACTAATTTGTTTGTGGACAAATTGAAAAAAAAAATTAAATACCGTAAATCTGGAAATTTTTACGTCGATTTTATTTTGCGAATTTGGGTCAAAATGCTGTTGATTAATTTTTACGTTTCAAAATTTTGCGAATGACCACTGCTTTGTTTACATTTTCTTACTGGTGATTTATTTTTAAGAAAAATATTTTTGCGAATGCAAATATCTACAGCAAAAAATTCCAGATTTACGGTAGTTAACAGAGTTTATCATTTCAAATAAATTTATTTCAAATATATGGGAAAAATTATTACTCTCAGACAAATATTCACTTAAGACTTTTCAGGAAAATACAAAAAGATGTAATTTTGAACCTTGGAAATTTATTGCATTTTTAAAGATATCTTCTATTACCATACATTAGGAAAAGACAGAATTCAATGGTGTATGCACCTTGTGGCAAACTCAACTCCGATGGTGGTCTTGCTCTCTGCGTTGAACTCATTCCTCGTAAATCGGGACAGAAGGTTTGTTTTCCCTACACCAGAATCCCCCACCAGAACCACTGAATAAAAACCAAAAATGCTTAAATCTTAATGCTTTCTGCTCAGAATACAGAGTAAGACTTCCAAATTAAAAATAGAATCCTCCATATATACATGTTTGTCATGCAGGGAACACATTAATTACCTTTCCATATAAAGTCATACTGGTCTTCTGCACCCATAATGGACACCTATACTTCAGTCTGTTGAAACCAATCCTGATCTGTGTTAATCTAAAATGCAAAATTAATCATGTTAATTGAAAACACTTTGACGAGTAACGAATATGTTCGCATTAGATAGAATGTTCTATCGTTAAAATGATATTGTCCTACGGACCCGGTTTAACGATAGAATTCATTCCGTGTATTCGTAATGTAGCAAAAGAAACATGGGTGATAACTCGTACTCACTATAACTCAGTGCATTTACTACGAACAATCTAGAGAGTTCCGAATGTAAACATGGCAGGTAAAATTGAAGCGAGAGAAAAGGGTTGAGAAAATTAATTGGATTTTCGTCTTTAGATGGATTATTTTCTGGGATAAAAGGCATAAGCAATCTCAAAAAGGTTTGTTTTGATTAATTTGGTAGTTATTTCCAGTGAAAATTCTTTTATATTCTTCAGAATCGTTTCGGAGTGGATCCGCTCCGATTTGCTACATTGCAAGTATATGGGACGGATTCTAACTGTGGTGAGGGCTTGTACCGAGACACAGTTAGATCATTCTTACTAATGTTCGCATGTTCCCATTGATCATGATATTGTGTAATGGAAAACTTTAACTGGGTGCAAATTTTTGCTTGCTTTAGCAATTAATTAAAAATTAACTGTTTCTTAATATAAAAATTGTTCTCCTGCTCCTCCATGAATTTCAACATGTTCAAAAATATTGATTTTTGTATTCACTCCGTCACCATTAGCCTTTAGCCTAGGTAGCCTACCAGTTGCACCATTTATAAGAATATTGTACACAAATGATAGAATAAAGAGAAAATAACTAGTAAGGGGATTAGTTACTTTTGAATTTATCTATTTTGACTTCTGTCAAATCCCCCTTACTTCCGTTGTCATAAAAAAAATGAAAAACGGTGACGGACAAAGCCTTTTACCTTTCCTACTGCCACAAATGAATAACAGTTATTAAAGTTGAGGAATACTAAATGAACATTCACAAAAATTCTACATCACATTCTGTCAATGTCAAGTCGTCGATCAAAATCACATACAAAGTGACGAACGCGCAAAACACCTGTCACTCTAAAAATAGTTTAAGTATGCTAGTCGCCTCTGCGTATTTAACTTTAATTTCTGATAAAGTTTAGAATTATGAGTAAAATTATTCAAAAGCAAGGGAAAAAATTAAGCGAACTGCTCATAAGGATCATTATGTTTATTTATCCCCTTTTTTGAAATTTGTTGAAATTTAGTTTCGTAACTTTTTCGGAACACCTTTTCTGCTTCCTTGACATCGTGAGTTCCGCATGTAGGCTGAAGGACCACTGACGTTGAGAAAGGGTATAAAAAGTAGGCTTTTGGACATTAATTTTAGCTGGTTATCATATTTTTTCTGATCATGATTAATGTTAACTTTCTTGTTCACTATTTTTTCAGTGTCAGGCAGATTTTTAGTCTGTAAGACCGGCATCGTGACCTTAGTCCGAATATCCTCGACTTTTTCATTGCTTATGAAACATGCTTATCAACCAACTTATACCATCTTTATACTTTTAGCAAATGACAATGCAGAAAAAAAACTGTTCTTGAATCATTGGTGTATAGATGTGTATTTAATTATTTGCCAAAATAACTATACCATATAATCCATATTAAGTATTTGGGATTTTTTCTAGGTTACAGGACATGTCAAAGAATTTGTGAAAAAAACTGATAAAATTCACCAGGGGAAAGGTCAAAAATGGTTTGACAGAGGCAGTTAACAATATCCCAAAAGAATATTATGATAGACTAGCAACATGGCATTTATTCCCAAAAGACAGATATATTTGCCACCTGTGTTGAAATCCACATCTTTCCATCAGAATTTTTGCTTTTCAGCATGTTCAGAGAGCACTCTTCAAAGTTTTCAAAAACAGGACAATCAGCCAATAAGAAAATGCAACAATGCTTTTATGATCATTCATAGGGAGCAGGGTAATGTTCAGTGGATTTGTGCAAATTACTTTTCATCGTCTTCTATTCGATTTTCTGATAAGCAGCAAATTTTCAAAAAATCATGTTTTGGACGAATGTCAGTGACAAAGCATCTACCCAGACCTAAGCCTCCGTGGAGGGTGCTGTTTTTTGGTACAGATAATTTCTCTCTGAGGATGTTGAAAACTTTAAATGAAAACAGGTAGATATTGCTCTTAGTATAATCCTGTAACATCAACTTATCAGTGTGTAGCATGCTCCAATTTAAAAATTGACCGTACATGTACTAAGAGTTAGCTATTGTATGATTGATTGTATGATCAAGTAGTCCATGGGTAACAGAGACCTATGAGCATACTCAAAACCATGG